GCCTTTGAGATCTTCTGAAATAGCACGAAGCCATGATAATCCTTACTCTTCGCGTGACAACCAAATTAGCTATGGGCGTGACAGCCAAATTAGCTATGGTCGTGACAGTCAAACTAGCTATGGGCGTGACAGCAGCATGTCTCACAATCGTTCTCGCTTCTCAGATATTTATGAGGAAGATGAAGACGAAGTTTTGCCTCCTCTAGAAGAGCGAATTCAGAGGCGAACAGCTGCGTTGGAACTAAAGGACGATTTTGATATGGGCCTCAATCTTCCCAAGGGCCGGCCCGGAGGAGCTCTTGAACGATATAGACAGGGGAGAGCTCGAGAGGCACAAGGTCTTCGTGACTTTGAAGAAGCAAACGGGCTAACAGAGGATCCCAGCAGAACTTCCAGGGAAAATAAATCCCAAGGCGTTCGTTCTCAAGATCCTTCCAATAGAAACTCTCAAGAGCCCCTTTATCAACCTCGACAAGCCCTCTACGGCCGAAGTGCTCATGATTCATACGGCCGTCCTGCAGCAGATCCACACAGTCGAGCTTCATACGACCCATATGACTGGAATGGCCAGGATATGTACGGTCGGCCTTCACAGGACCTGTATGGAAGACCCCCACAGGATCCTTACAGTCGTGGATTTCATGACCCGTATGGCAGATGTCCTCCAGATCCATATGCTCGGGCTCCTTTGGGACTTTATGGACGGCCACCCGCAGATCCTTACGGATACCAAGATCCCTATGGACGAGCCTCCCAGGACACTTATGGCCGTGGGTATAGTCGAGGGGGTCCAGACAACTACGAAGATGAAAATCGGCAATACGGGTGCGCTCGACGAACACCGTATGGTGGTACAGCAGAACCCCATGGTCATGGTGGTGGGTATGGTTTAAACAGACCTAGCTATGGCAAAAAATATGAAGATTATGATGTCGATGATGAATCAGAGGACGTCTATACAACGCAACGACGACCGGTAGTATCTTCACTCCACGACGGGGACCGTAGCCTCACTCCCCGACAAGAAGAACGACAGAGGATTTCTATCTTGGCCAGCAAATACTTAAAAGGTTCATCACTGCCTGATGACTGATGACTTATTACGAAAAATAGTTTATAATCAATAAGTTACAGCTAATCTAAAGTCAAGTATAATTAAATAGAATAAAAATGTAATGTGTATCAATAAAAAGCGCGTGAGAATTAAAACCACAAAATATTCAAGCCTTTTTTGAGCACTTGTATTTTTTGTTTTTGTTCTCAAGGCTTTGGTCAAACTGGAGAAAGAGAAACTGCATTAGAACATGATATGCCACCGCATGCTTCTTATCAAATAAGCGTTTGTTTTCTTTTCTCTCTGAACTGGCTGAATATTTTTGGCTTGAGCTTTAACTTTGAATCACGTCAGGGTACCACTTCGTACTATCTAGACGTTTTTGTTTAGTGTTACCTTTTGTTTGAAGGAAATTTAGTAAGGTATAAGTTTCATTATTGCTTCTTTGTTTATTTTCTGTATAATTCATCCGTTGGTTTAAGTTTTATTATCTCTTCTGTTTGCCTCTTACAGTATTTCATCTTAACAAACTGATTTTGATTAATTTCCACGGAAGCGAAAGCAGCTGCATTTCTTCCTTTTACAAAATTCATCGGAGGCTTGATGCTGGATCCTTTAAAACTAATTTACTTCCGTTCTTAGCCAATGAAGAAGATATTTTACATATCATGTAATTGTAGCAATAATAATCCTCCCCAACAGATTATTGGTTATCTAGATAACAGATTAGATTTTATACTTACGTGTAGTATTCATAACGGGGAAAATATTTATAACGGTGAACTCTGATATATAGTCATTTTACTTCTTTTATTCTTTGACATGATGTCCGTGTGGATTTTTTTTCTGTAATGGAGTTACAATAATCTATACTCATTTGTACAGTATCTACCCATGCAAACACACACACGCTCGTATTTATCCTTTAAAAAGAATGCATAGTAGAGTATGATAATTTTTTTTCGGAGAATGTGATTTTTGCATAATAAAGACTTGAAATTTGAATTAGCTTATGATTTGGACCCTCTTAAAACACACAAGCTCCCAAGAGTAAACATGAAAATGCATTATAAACATGGATATAATACTCCGTGATTACTGACAAAACCAAAAACAGGTGGCATTCTCTGGTACCATCTCTTACAAAGACGGTTGGAGTAAGAAAGATTGAAAGTCAGAGAGTGTAAAGACCACGCAGTAGTCTGAAGGTGAGCGCCTTTTAATGTTTTCTGTTTTCTCTTTATTTCTATATCTAATCCACTCCTTTTTGTCTTTGAATTCTGCGTGATAACTTAACAATAGCTCTCATTTCCGAATTTGTGTGCAGCTATGGGCTTATTTTATTTAGTGTCATTCTACAGCTGGACAGTTAATCGGTTCCTTTAGAGAGGGACAGTATTAGTTAATAGAATACACACACATATATGTACACACACACACACACAC